CTCAGACGGCGAGGCAGACCGCAGCGAGCACCGCGGCGGCCATCCACAGCGGGCTCCGCCCCATCACCGCAACGTCAGGCCGGCACAGCATGTTCGCATCTGTACACTTGTTGTCGGTGAGGCAGTTGGCGGAAGAAACTTTTGGCAAGCTGTTCGCGGCGTTTCGCAAGGTGGTCCCCTTCCACGTGGTGGGTACACAGCCGCAGAAGTTGGTGCCGGTGAGGTCCAGGTGAAACACCCGGTCGCTGAAGGTGCCGAAAACCGCTGATAGTGTGCCGCGCATGTTCGGGTTGTTCGCCAATCCAGCCCACTGCAGATTTCTCATCCGCGCTGCGTCCCAGTCGGGAAGGTCCCCACAGGCCTTCGTGTCACTTACCTCCAGAACGTTGAGGTTTTCGAGGTTGGCCCAGCTGACTGGGAGGGTGCCGGACAGTTGCGTGCCGTTCAGGATGATGCTTCGCAGGTGCGACAGTTGACCCCATTGCGCTGGGAAGGCGCCAGTCACCTTACGGTCTCCCATCATGTTTACGCTTGCCACGCGGACCAATTGGGGCTGAAACGTGCCGTCGAAGTTGGGGATTTTACCCTCAACGCGGTCATCAACAAGCAGCAGGCTGACCTCATTGTTTGCCTCGTCGCACATAACCCCAGACCATTTGCAGAAATCGTCCCCCTTCCAGACTTTTCCGAAGTTCTTGAACGACCTCTTGAATGTATTGAGGAAGTTCCTGGTGTGAACATCGTTGCGAATGTTGCCCTCTCCACTGGTTGCAGCTGAAGCGGCGCCGCAGCTGAGGGCGAGGAACAGCAGCAGCGGCACCAGCAGAGGAATAAAAACTGCAGCTGTTGGTGTCGCTTGCGGCGTAACGCGTGACATGCCTTGGCGAAACATCAACGGAGAAAATAAATATAGTCGATGGCCTGACTTATGATCTTGGTTTATACCTGCAGCGTACTTCGTCTGCAGGAAGGAGAGAGGGGGGCGGGGCGAGAATGAACGGAAGAGAAGGAAAATAACGGGGCACGGAACGGTGGGCCGAAGCGCGAGTAAACATCGCGCGCCAGTCTGCATATGTGCACTCGCACCACGGATGAGACAAGAAAGAGTCGGTGGTAGAGGTGTGTGTGTGTGTGTGTGTGTGTGTGTGCCGTTGTTCCAGCTTTTCGATGAATGGCGTCTGCTATTCAGGTGCTCGTCACACTGCTCGCGCGCCGCAGGGCGTTGGGTGTACGACCCACACACACATACAGAAACACACGGGCACAGCGTTCCTCGCCGGCGCGACTTAAAACATTTCTTATTTTTGTTTTTGCTTTGTATCTGTATGTGGGCCGTATCGCCGCGGAAGGAAGTAGAAGCGCCACGCACAGCACACACAGACACACTTCCACTTCAACCGGCTTACACAACTTATTCCAGCTCCACAACAAAGCGTTCCTGTACTGGTGTGATGCCCACCGTCACGCCGCGCGCTTGCGCGATTACGGGGGGAGCGTCACAAGGGCGCGCTGCTTCGCCACAAGCTCTGGTAGTGCCGGCCACGTGCGGTGCGGCAGGCCAAGCACCTTTCTTTGCGCCGCCTCTGCTCGCTCACGCTTGCCCAATTCCGCCTCCACTTCCGTCTTGGCCTCGGTCGAAAAGAGTGATGTGGAAGCATGTAGTAGTAGCTGCGCGTGGTCGCCCTCGATAACGTGATGCACGGGCCCGAGCACAGCTGCTGTAGCTGTGAGGCGGCCCGCAGTGTTGTACGGCTGGTGACCGCTACCGTCCTGCAGGGGGCAACGCACGTGTCCGCTGACGAGTGGCTGCAGGTGGGCAGCGAGCGCGGCGTCCTCTTCCCGCACGAACGGCGTGTACGCACCGACGGCGCCAAGTGAGGTGGCGTAGTACAAAATGCGCAGCGCAAGGGACGGGTCGGTGCCGCCGCTCGGGTCGTAGTCGTGCACGCAAAGCGATGTGACAAGCTGACCGGTGTGGTGCAAGGCGACCTCGTCAAGCACCTGGTCGTGGGCGGCGTAGCGCTCCGCCTCGAGAAGCTCCGCGTCGCTCATGTGCGGCAATGGCTCCGCGAAGCCGAGCCGTGCGTCGTGTGGGAGCCGCAAAAACGCGATGCTGCCGAAACGGTCGGCCACTGCAATGGTGCGGGCGTCGAGGCAAGCGACGCTTGTCACACTGCGCGGCACCGCATCGCGTGCGATGAGCATCAAGAACGACATGGCGCCCGACGTCCCGCCACCGGGCTGCACTGTCGCGATAAAGACAGACTGATCAAGGGTGCCGCAGACAATGAGAAGACGCCGCTCCCGTGCAATTGTGCTGTTTGGCGGACAACGGAAGAGGTCTGACGCGTACGCTGATGTGAGTGCGGAGGATGAGGCCGTGCCTGGCGGCGTGATGAATACCGTTTCAATCGACGTGATGCGGCTCGGCACATTCGGTAGCCGCCGCTTGCGCAAGAAGCGGCGCTGTCCCCACGCATACACCTGCAGTCCACTCTCTGGCCCCATGCCCACGAACAGGAGCCCCACATCTGCGCAGATATGTAGCGCAGAGGGATAGTCCACCAGTGCCGCTGCGCGAGGAGGATTCTCGCCATTGTGGCTGCTTTCTGTTGCCGCGATGAGCGTGTCGTGCAGCTGCTCAAGACGCAGCGTCGGAGCACTGCTACCAGGCATCCCTGTGTTCGCCACAACGAAGCGGAAGGCGCGGAGGCGGCCCTGGCTCCACGACGCACCAACGCCGCACCCACTGCCGTGCGTATACTGCTCTGCGCAGCCCGACACCACCACTGGCTCACGTCCAAAGTCCTTGATAAAACTGCCAACTGTTGCTGAAAGCACGGCCTCGCGTTCCTGAAAGTACACAGGCGGGTCGAGTCGGTCCGTGCGCTTGTTATACAGCTGTAGCGTGCTGACATAGTAGTTTGTGTGGTTCAGCGAGCGCTGCGGTTTGTCCAATGGGATACCACCGCCAGCTCTCTTGTTGCTATTGCTATCCGCTGCATCACCCACCACATTACTGCTATGATGACGATTTTGTTGTTCCGCTGCTGCCGTAGCCGCACGTCGGACTGCAGCGATACCGTACCCGCGATGCTCGGTGCCAATGATCAGCAGATACTCGGGTCGTGTGGGGTGCTGCAGAAGTCGTCGCCCCGCCACCGAGAGGGGCGTGTGGCTGAAGCTATACTCCAGCGCTGTCTCCGCTGTGCTGGACCCGCCACTCTGCTGCGCGGCGAACAGAGACAACGTGTTTCCGGCCACGCCAAGCACCAATTCCTCCCGCGCACCCGTCGGCATCTCCACCTCTGTCGCGGTTGCTGAAGCTGTGATAGAAGGCGGAGGTCGTCTGAATGGGGCGTACATCGCCTGCGGTGAGGGGAAGCGCCACGGCACCGTCTTAGGCAAGCCGTCGCGAACGTCGCAGCGCCAGTTGAACTCGCCGCACAGCACGTAGCAGACACGTTCAGCATCACCAGGGATCATTTGGCACGGTGCAGTACCACATGTTAGAACCGCCCGCTCTATCAATTTACACGTTGTCGCGTCAAGCTCACAGCGCGTCACCGTACCGTCAATGTGGCCAATGAAGCAGAACAGACGTCTCACACCGCCTGCCCTACCAAGGTACGTCAGAAGAACGGACACGATCGCCGGCGCAGCGCCACCATTGCTACTATTATTATTATTATTGTTACTGTTATTAGCACGGTCGTTGTTGTCATCGGCGGTGCAGCGAATGGTCTCCAAAGGTTCACGCAATTTCTTGGGATTTACAATATACACCTCCTGGCTGGCGGTGGCGATGGCCGCGAGCACGTGGCCCCCTGACGACGATGAGGCGCGCGAGTTTGCTTTAAACACTGTGGCATCGCTTTCGGCGTCCTGTAACAGTGAAATCGCCGGGGCGTGTGGGAAGGAGGGGATCGCCTCCAACTGCTGCAGCCGTGTTCCGCTCATACCCATGTCGAAGCTGGCGATTCCACCACCCTGAGCAAAGGACACGACCATTGTGTTGCCAGAGAGTGCAGCGGCCAGGATGCGTTTGCCGTGCGGATGCACCCACGTTATACCCTCCGCCACTGGAGACGCCACAGCACTGCCAACCTGCTGCTGATCCGTTCGGTAGGGAAGAATTAAGATGCAACTTGGTGTGATCTGGACGTACCCGACGCCGTGGCGCAGGGTCCCTGCCGCTATGGTGTGCTCGGAGGTGATGAAACCCGAGAGTGTGTCTGGCTCCACCTGCCCTGTCAGCGCAAGGGACAGAACCGTCGTTCCCTGCCTCGTCGAGAGCAAAAGTTTGTCATCCCATACGCTGCTGAGGGGCCGGGAGGCTTTCTTTGCCGTTGGGCGCTGTCTTGCGCTACCGGAAGCCTTTGCAGCTTCCATCTGCAGCTCACGCCATCGCTGCTGCATCGCTGTCGCAGAGAGCACCGGTGTCAGACTGTTGAACACGGCCGGAAGTGTGAAGGAGCTCTCCAGCCTCGCCGCGTACCCATAGCGGGCATGTATCAAGACACTGTCGGAACCGCGCCCCACCACTGCGTCAATCTGCACATGGGGCTGCTGTTGCTGGTTGTACTCGAGAGCTCCCTGCTGCTGCTGCTGCTGCTGCTGTTGTGGAATGGTTACGGCAAGCGATGTTATCGCTGGTGTGTTTGGATAACTCTCTAGCAACACCATGTGCCGCAGGGATTGATGCGGCAGAAACAGCGGCACAACACGGCTGTGCTGTTGCTGCAGCTGCTGTAGCGGCTTCTGGAGTGACGACGGCGGGGGAAGAGGGACCGCTGGGCCCTGGGGCAATGACGGCGGCAGCATTCCCCCTTTGGGGACATTGTTATCCTCCTCGCCAGAAGCACCGGTAGTAGTAGTAGTAGTAGTAGTAGTAGTAGTGGGGTCATGAGGGCCACCGCCTTTGGTGTCCTCATCGTCGCCGTCCTCGTAGCGATTGCTGCTGTTCCGCTGGTCCACCATACGCATGCGGGAAAGAATGTATTCCTTGTCTGTGCGGTAGCCATCCTTGATGATCTTGTACAGCCCATGCGTCGGGGCCGACTCCCCCGCAGCAAAGACGAACCCACGGCGGAACAGCACCATCGCTGTTGACGGCGGAATGGTGTCAAAGTACGACACCGTCAACGGCGACGGCACCGTCACAGGGGGCGCCTTCGACCCGCCGATGCCACCAACGCGCTGCTGCTGCAACATCCGCAGCGCGTCGGACGCGCGTTGCACATCCATAAGGGTGAGGCAGACGCGGAACACGTCACCCTGGTCGTCCTGCAGCAGCATGAAGAAGTCATCGCGTACACATGTCGTCGCGTGCGCGATGATCATCGGGTCGTACAGGAGCTCTCGAAAGTCATCGCGCCTCGGGAACGGCGCAGCCGTCTTAAACAGCGAGGGGGGCAACGCCGCCGCCGACGACGACAACAAGGGGGTGACGTCGGCGCCGCTGTTGCCTAGGATGCCGCCGCCATGCAGCTGCGGCATTAGGTCGTACCAAATGACCTCCGTGTCGGTGCAGACAAGCACGCCACCGGGACCAAAGGGCGCGGCGGGAACGGCGACGAGGCGATGCGCCGTCGCCGGCACCGTCACAAGCCGCGTGCGCTGCACCTGCTGCAGCCCCGCCACAAAGACATACACAGCGAGCTTCTTGGGCGGACAACTACCACTACTACTACCACCGCTGCCGCTGCTGCTCCTGCCGTCGCCGCCGTGCTGCGGCATGGCGGGGGTC